TGGAAAAGTGAAGCACTCATAATAAAACATCAAAAATTACAAATAATATATGCAACAGGGATCATTCTATGTACATTAACAATATTTGTAAAGTCCTACTGTAAAGCATTTAAATAATATAAACAGAGTCATTAGGTTATAGTGTGGTGTATTCTATTGATGTTGACATATATATTTAGCATGCATCGCCAATCGAAAGTAGAATGCCTGGCAGTAGAAGGTTGAGAAAATCGAAGAAAAGAGGATGAGAACAGAGAATGATTGGTATGAAAATGAAGTGACAACAAAGTCTGATACAATCGATGGATATTTTGCAAATGAAGTATTACTGTATGGTTCTCAGATTTTACCAAGATATTCTGTAATGAATCGAGATACATTTGGATGTCCTTGATTGTGTTCACTACAATATGATTTGCTAATGTGCGATACGTTATATCGGAAGCCTAATCCAGAGTATAGTAATATTTAACTATTTTTTGTAACAAACAGGCATCCTCTCATTGGATTAAGCAACCTCAAACGAACTACATATTGATGCATTTTACAATCATAATATGTACATAATGAAAAGAGAACGTTTCCCGTCTCAACGATATTTGTGTTTGACATGCTTACATTGTTCTGTTGAAACTAAATAGGTATTTTGACTGTCAACCAGTAACTGAGTTTATGAAGGAATGTGACTACAATACTGTAATACTTAGTAAATTGGAAAATCGCCTGAATTAAGTGGATAGAATTAAAATATTTTAGATCAATGATGATGAAGGAACTAAGATTTCGTCAAAAAAGTAAGTTTTTGTTTCTTTTTTTAATTTTTGATCATTTATACGCAGATGGTGCATATTAGCCAATCAGTGTAGCAGATAATGTATGCGTCATCCAAGTTATACTAAATATATCTCGATAATTCATTGTTATCTGATTAAATAACTTGCTTTCCAAGGATATCTTAAAAAACTGTTTCCTTTCAATTGAAGACTGGTGATGTGGGACGAATAGGTAAGAAAAGAAATTTAAAAATATGATAGTATGGAACTCTTAAGTTAGTCTATTTTTGTTATCTTCAGGTGCCAATATATATGTACAGTTCGAAAATAATTGATTGTATATTTTGTTCAATCATTTAAGAGAGGTCGTTAATGGGAATAACTAGGCAAAAAGCACAGCATAATGCCAAACATTGTTTATATGTAAATTACTTCATTGGAATCATTAATACTCTTTGCACATTTACTTCTCGCCCACAAACATTTAAAAGAAAATCAAAATTAATCTGAACACTGGCTAGATGAGTATTTATTATTTATCATCTTGTTGACCTATTTTAGAGAGTGAATGTTGGGAGCAATCATTAAGAAGCCTTGGAGTTCAGTTTCGCTTTGATCAGCACTCGTTAGCAAGATGCATTTGAAGATCATAAGGTAACCACCCCCACTCATTTGATCAAAGTAAATGACCGAATAAGACTCTGGACTCAACGAAGTGCATTAGTTCCTATAAGATTATAGATACGCTTTCCTGATAGGTGTCAGATAACACAACTTATATCTGGAGATTTGAGTTGATTGTTTCTAACAGTAAGCAAAATCTATCACAATACTGAATCCCTTGATCTGGTAGCAAATTTACAGCTACATTGATGTCATGTGACTGCTTATATTGTGATAACACATCTTGGAATATATGATGTAGTATATATCAAATATCCGGTATCCAACACGTAATCGAATAAACTAATAACAGTTTCAACTATAATACATTTTAAAAGTTTCAGTAACATTAGCTTTAATATGTGGTTATTATTATTATTAATATTAATGTAATGCAATACTATACCGTTGAATCTGAATTCGGACTCCTTCATTTCTCATCGTTGCGTTTTATTGATGAACTACTATTTGACTTTATCATTACTAATTCGTAATACTGTTTCAAAACTACAGTGATCGTAATGTCATGTGATGTAAAATATTAATTATCCTACACTGAAAACCAGTTTATTGCTCCAGTAGGATTTCGCACCAACATTTAAAATAAAACTTCATAAATAAACCAACTATAACTTACACATAATGATAAAAGCAAATTTCGGTGCCTATGAATACCACTGATTACTTAGGTCATATAACAACTGTCATATCTACTTGAGTCGTCAAATCAAACTTTCAAAAACGAACCGATAATAGATTTTTAGCTGTTAATTTACCACTTCGAAAAGCGACTAAGTATGTATTGCTTAAACTAGCTGAGGAGCTAATGACAAGCAAATTGGTTGACAGCTCTAAAGTTTACGTTTTAAGCTTTTTGGGTATAAAGTCTTGATCATTTTCGAGCATTGTTGTAGCACCATTGGGGCAGTTGTTTATGATTTTATTATTAGAAAACTAGACAACAACTCAGATGCTAAAGTTTTCAAAATTTATTCATCGATGATACAATAACTGTATCTAATTACAGAAAACAGAGAACTATTGGAAACCAAGGAGCACTATGCAAGTATTTCATCCTTGTTTAGGTGTCTTTGAAATTTGAGGATATTATAATCTCAGAATGAGCACTTGATTTTGTAATTTCGAGATATGCAGTAACAATTCCTGTTCAATAGATGGTGACACAGATTATCTCCTTATTTAATAATGTCTGTGTTTATCTAATAATTTAATGTATTACGTTGTTTTGAACAATATACTTTCTTCATTGTTTAGTATGTACTCCATATCCAGTGACTTTATATTTTGTTTAGTCTGTATATAAATAAGTAATAACAAGTTCCTTATCCATTATAATACGACATATATTTAGTAGTTATTTAAAATCAAAGGACATGTTGCCACTAGATCGGTTTTTTATATCTTCACTAAATAGGGACATATTCAGTCACTTGAATAACACCTTATGGAATGAGCAGAATTGTATGCAATATACTAAATCATAATTGTTATTCGCTCTCTTGCCATTATGCTTTATTATCTGATTTTTCATGAATTAGTTTAATTTTTCGCATATAATATATTTATTTCGCACCCATGAAGCTATCATTCAAGATATGCGTAACAAATTCACAGCCTTAAACAATAGAAGTGAGTAAATAAAATATATATAGTACATGAAAATATCCGATCGTCGCTTTCCTAACCATTGCTGCTAACTTAACATGGTGGTCAGGCTCGCCTATCGTGATGAAGCAACCGAGCTATACTTGCTGGAACAATCGTTTCTCAAAGTTATACTATGCCAGGTAGTTCGGTTGAAGAACGTTAAGAACAAAAGTAGCAAACCCAAAGTCCGAAGGCGAAGTCTTACCGAAGAATGTACAGAGGTGTGACAGCAGTAAGGTGTTTCCTTCAGATAACCAGCATAACAGCGATGCTCCCTTCTCACAAGAAGGGGTGGGGTTAGAAAAGGTCGACCCTAAAAATGAACACCTCGCCTTATCCCACGAATTTCCGTCTCCGGTGTGTTAGCGGGACATAGACTGGATTAAAGCATGCTCAATGCACGATTGCTTTGCTGCACGCTGATTGGCTAATTCTCATCCAATCAGCACTAGTCGATACTTAGAGAATACTCTGGAATCTTCTCATGTAAAAACTATAAATATACTAACGCTTTCCCTATTGTGCTTCTTACTTCCATCTAACCTTGTTATTTGGAATATAACCTCTTTCCTGTTCAACCGTGTTCTGATTTGGTGACTTGTTGAGTGAATCGGTGTCCGAGAATACTAAGCAATAGGAATAGCTGGGTCATAACCGTAAGAGAAAAATATAACACGGTGATAATGTCTCAATAAGTACCGAACTAGCACAAAAAACCGTGTGACCAGCCCCAAGCAGTTGTCCCTTGGGCACTGCGGTCACGCTCTCAGGTCACTATGACCACCTCTAACACAACTCCCTTTTCAGGTACCTCCAGAAGAACCCTTACAGAGTGTGAGCAACCGGGAAGTGATAACCGCCCTCATACCTCTAACAGAACTCAAGATCACTGTATTCATAATCAACCTCTCTCTTCAATTCCTATTACTCTTATATCGACTTTCAACTCTAAACTTCCTCTTTTGGCTTCCTCCTCAAGTGTCACCATAGCCAACGATTCTAGTGCGCAAAATACTGTCCCAGGTCTACTGAAACCTCGCTCCAAACTACACATTGGAGCCTTCAACGTACGCACTCTATGTCAAACCATTCACCAGGCCTCCTTGGCTAAAACCCAAGAATCTCCTACCATTGATGTATGCTGTGTCTCCCAAACACACATGCAGGATCGCAATGTGGTCATTCACTTGACCTTACATCGACAAAAAGGGAAAGCCGACGAGATACACCCTACGTGTATCTGGAGACCAGATGGCTAGTTCTCGTGGACTGATGTGTGTAGGCATAGCACTAAGTATGAGGGCGGAACAAGCACTACTAGTGTGGATCCCCGTTAACAGTCGTCTATGTGCTGTTCGGCTAAACGGCTCCGTAAGAACTCGGAAGGACAGGGACACACATCGTTACCTTTTCGTCATTTCTGCCTATGCTCTCACCGACTGCAGCACGGATGAAGGAAAAGATGAATTTTACAGAAAGCTCTCTGAACTTCTTCAGATCACAATGGCGTCGGCGTACACACTCTTTGTCTTCCCTTAAACCTTGGGATTAATATTACTTTATACCTTTCTTTCTCCCTATATCACATCCTTATATGAAACGTTTTTTTACTACCATTAAAGTAACTGCTTTTATGAATTTGTTCATCTTGTTATGCTAATGAGATGCGGAAACTTGGGCCGATGTTTATATGTCTCTTCAGTAAATCACTAGTGTGAAATTACTAAGGTGTCCCCAAGACAATTCAGACTACTAAGTCTTGAGGTTAGATCGGACCAGCAGGTTTCCTTAAGAAATTTGATACAGATATGTCGACAATTAATTCTTTCTATTTAATGGATCATCAGGTGATTTATTATATGTCAGCATATAGGAAATGTTCGGAGCGAAAATCCAGGTTATAAGAAACAGTGAAACCCAGCGACTTAGGCACAACTGATAGTAGACTTGTATCTTGATAATAGTTTTATGCATTACATGACTTTTTAGGTCGTACGACAATTTTTTAATTCCAAAATGATGGACGACTACTAGCACCCCTTTTATCTAATCAAATTTAAGATGATACTAGTAACAGATCACCGATGACTGAAACATATACTTCCAAAAGTAAACAAATAAAATAAGGTCATATTTATCCCACTCACGAGTGTTAAACGAATTGTTATATCCGACGAAGACTATATATAGCAAATGCAACACTAATTAGTAGTCAGTATTTATATGAAATACTGGATCCAAAACAACAATTGAAAAGGTTGTACAAAATGACTCAGTTTGTCTCCCTTAAATCAAGTCCCTGTAATGATGGGGAGAATACATCACGTAAAATTATGACGGATTATCAGTCAATTTCATTCTTTCGAGTCTACATGTGATGAAACTAGATGACTAAACCTTAAGCAGTTGATAAAGCTGAAACTAGCTACGAAATGGAAAATACAATAAAAAGTTAAAAAACTGACTGGAAAGATCTTTGAGGAAGTGTTGATGCAATATCATTAGACAAACTGACTGAAATATTAGTTGAATTTAGACAATCTATCACAGTTTCCTATCTAATTTAGTAACAATTTTATGTCGATAGACTAAATATTAAAACGTCAATGAATTGTCAATGCAATGTCAGTAAAGAATACTCCCACAATTCAGAATAACAAGATCCTGAATTTTGATAAAAATTTTAAAAATTTCTTTATTTTTTTTATTAAACCATTTACCTGAAAAAAACTCAGCTGTTTTCCATACATTTAAAGTCGTAACAGCCAAACTTGGGAAGGGAGACTTAAATAGTGTTGTCAAATTTGGTAGGCAATGTGACAAAGTACACCTAACAATCCACCCCATTTGTACATATACACACTACAAGGATCCACTGGTTAGATGTTTAGTCTATCTGAAGTTGAGCAACAATTACAAGCTACCTTATCACAAGTGACCAACACCAACTGCGCACATCCATACAAATAAATTGTATAAAGCACCGAATATATATAACAAAAAAAAGCATTGCGTTATGGGAATGAAAATTATCCGTTGTAAAAGGACACCAACAAGAAAGTTCAATCGTCTTATTGATCATAGTTGACAAAAGAACAAAAGACTGGTAATGAAGAAAAATCATATTTAAGAATTACGAAAAAGTTAAAATAAATGAAGTGACCTTAAATGTATCATATTTTTAATCACCAGTTATATGCAGTTTCAGAAGTATTAAAAAATCACAACTTAACATAGTACATGTAAATAGAAGTGATCACATGGAGTCATTTGTATGTAAAGATAAAAATCCAAAAATCAATAAAAAGCATCATATTCAACATGCCAACGATTCCGACAAAAACCCAACTAATCAACGATATTCAATGGGGCACCGTAGTCAATGTTTATTCCTAGATTGGCAAAACTCTAAAAAAGATTTCGAAAAAAAATATTAGAGTAATATTAGATAAAACTCAATATGAAGCATCTAGGTATACATCAACGATAGTACAGATGAAAAATCAGCTTGATTACTGTGTCTTCTCAAATTAAAAATAAATATCTCACTACACTGTGAATCATATCGACAAATTTAACAGAACATTTTTGAAGAAATATCCGACCCGTCTGCTAGAGTGTGAGAGCAATATTATTAGCGAGAATAAAAAACTATGGTAGTATTCACTCTGTAATTCGCATTAATCAATTTTATTTGTTTGTTTTAATTATACTTTTCATTGTGATAACTGTTATGGGTATTAGTCCCATTTCTCTCTTCTTGCTGTGCTGAGATGAGGTATGGTAATGTGGATCAATAAACATCTGTGTTGAAAATGCATTTACAATCGAACAGTGAGAGTAGCAAATGAGCAAAGTAATCAATGGAATAATTACAAAATGATGAAATATCTGGTGAAATAGATAAAAACTTCCACTTAAAAACATTGACAAGTCAATCCAAGGTGAAAAAATATAAACAAATAGCTAATTTTATGTACACAATAAGCATTTGTTTTGGTTGTATATACGAGAAACATAAATCACAATGGTATGTGAAATCCTGAAATCACTTCTCAGCAACGATTCAGAAGACACTAAGAAGAGGTGGTTTGTTTGAAACCCCTTGAATACTTTTTTCCACAAATGAAGTTCATACTTAAACATTAGCTTTAGTAAGTTAAAAACACTTTGCACATGCCATTACATCAGTTACATACATTAAGTTTCCTGTCATCATGATAGGCTATAAGAAAGCGTGGAGATTATGCTGCGAGTAGGGAAGCTGTTATTGTGCTTGCTGAGAGCATCTTTAAGATTAATATCATTTAATTCACGAAAATAATTTAAAAAATATTACAAGGAGCAAACAAATTTACCGCAGTAAGATAATCATTAGCTGAACAAACTGTGGTTTTAGAATCAATTTTCCTCTGAATATCAGTTGGATATATATTATCAGATGGCTTTTCATCGGAGACAGCCAGTTTATTAAAAACGTTTCCAAGACTACCTCTATTTGAACGATTTTCATTGGATATTGTATAACTATTTTGATTTTGTGGTTGTGCTCCATTCCTATTGTGATTTATCATTTTCATTAAACGATATTCATCAGATTGCTTCTGAATTGAATGAAAGTAATCAAATAACTCATTAAAGTTGATGTACACACTAATTATATTCTGTGTAGACTGGGGACCTTTTGAAATCCGACTACTTAAAAGAGTGGATCAATACAAAAAGAAATGGTTTAAAAATTTATACCTTATAACAATAAATATTAGTTCAATATGGAAATCTTATTCAAGATAACTAAACCATTATACACAAATCCAATGAATAACAGTTAACTATGACAGTTTTGCTCTTATTATAGCAAACAGACTAAGCACTCAAGGGGACTCCACTTTATTACAGCTTGGGATATCGAACTACTTTCTATTAGTAAGTAGCATAAACAGTTACCCACATTTGTTATATAAAGTCAGTAGGCGTAAATTCATTAGGTCGCAAATGCATTTAACTTATAACGGATTGCAGTAATGCATAAAAAGCTCAAAAATTGGGAATAAGACATACTAAATCATACAACACAAGCAAAAGTCAGAATAAAATGACTACTATTAATAGAGAAATCTTTAAACATGACATTCAATACAAAAGAATAAAAACAGTCAGTCATAACAGCAATGGGAAAATCCCTACCGTGTCTTATTAAAGGATTTAACGTCTTAAAACATTATCAAGAAGGTAATACAACTCTTGAAAGATAACCATAAGATTTCAAACACTGGAAAATTAAATGCTGATTACATCCAGCTATACTTAAATGAGTTCTTGTTATAACCATGTAGATCATTTTTAACACTAAATAACGCTCCAAATCAATATTTAATTCTCCGTGTTTCAGATCTTATGATTGCACAGAGCATCTGGAAATAAATAGAAACTAAAGAAAATAATTATTACACTGGATTATCTGAAATATATTCCACAGGTGGTAAGCATTGTAAGCGTCGCCAAAGTGTCTGGAAGGCATCTGTTTGTGGAAGACACATAAGTAGGCAATATAAAGTTTCGCGAAGATCAGCACTGAATCGTTTATCAAGCATGTGCATCCGAAGACCTGAAAAGTCAAACATTACGTTTTAACTGTATATTGTGCTTCTTTAGTGAGTAATATGTCGAAACTTATTATACGTAAGTATATGCCAAACTACGTAAAAATTATCAATTTTATTCGCTAAAATAGTATTCAATAGTGAGATAGAAAGCAGCTAGCTAATCAAAAAACTTGGAGTGTTATGTTGTCACGAATTAGAAATCAGATATTGAAAGGAAGTTAAGTAGCAATCGGTTAGTGAAAAATGGTAAGGCGAAATAATTATCCAATTGATAGCTATTAAGAACAAAATTGTTGAAAGTTGTAATGATTGCTAGTTAATAGTTGTGAAAACAACTGGAAAGGAGTAGGAATGATAAAATAAATAAAAACGATAGATTATGGAATATAGAAAGCGAGGTTAGGGTCATGGATGAATGAGGGGTTGAGCATACTATTTCTGTCCACAAAGATTAGGCTAAAACTGGTGGATAGCAATAGCCTTTGCTGTACATAAGTTTTTCATTTGCATTCTCATTGAGTCAACTCCTTCTAACTGTATGTATAATTTTAAAGGAGGCTTCTAGTGAAGCGAAGTGGCTAGAATTGATTAGATGCTCCGAGATTGAGCTTTTGACTAAGTTTTGTAAACGTTTGGAGAGCTAGATAGTGTAATATTCGGAAATACGTTTCGAAAAAACTCGCTTTGTGTGGCCAATATAACCTGCTTCACATGATCAAGTAAACTGATAGATTTACACTGATTTCGTCCAATACGGGAGATTGTCCTTTACGCAACTTCGAATCATGGGTCAGCTAGAAAAGATAGTGTGAGGCTCAACCCAATAGAACGTTTTCTTGAAAGTCTGAGAGAAATCAGTGTGTATCTGTCAGTTTACTTGATCATGTGAAGTAGGTTATATTGGCCACACAAAGCGAGTTTTTTCGAAACGCATTTCCTAATATTACACTATCTGGCTCTCCAAACGTTTACAGAAGTTAGTCAAAAGCTCAATCTCGGAGCATCTAATCAATTCTAGCCACTTCGCTTCACTAGAAGCCTCCCTTAAAATTATATATACAGTCAGAAGAGTTAGCTCAATAAGAATATATATTGAAGATAAACTTGTCAGAGTACATTTAAAACATTAGAATTCAAAATACTTTTCAAACAAACATGAGAGAACCGCACAAATCATAAAAGTAATGATAACATGCTCACACATTGAACGATATTATGATTATCTCATTATTCAACGACATCGCCTAATTTCTTAGAACTGAAGCCTAATACATGACAAAATCCACTAACACCGAACCAATTTCAGTAAAATAACCTTTGTATGTTTGCCAAAATGCACGAAAACTCCCCTGATCTGATTACACCTTAATTTAGAAAAATTATAATATGGTATTGTGCAAACAGACAGATGCGTAATGAAAAAGGGTACATCAGTAGGTGACTTAATTTAAACAATTCTCAATATTATCATTGATGTATAAACTTACTGGAAAATATTGGTGATTCTATCATTTGAATTAGCTGATCCATATCACAGAGAGTTTCAACAGTAATAACAATATCTCCGCTTAGTCAAAAACAAAATAATATCGTTAAGGAATAAAACTAACGCATGGAGCATGCAGAACGCACTACCTTACGCATAAATTCATTCCCTATTTGAACTAAGTATCGTTTAGTTGACATATGATTGTTTATCAAATCTCCTTGTTCTTCTTCCCCGCAATATTTATTCTAATTATTAAAATACAATTAAGCTATCACATAAATGAAATTGTACATTTTTTTAAAACAAAAACGTATATCTCAACGTATACGGAACCGGGATAGTTTTTGAATGAGGTAAAAGTGTGAACGAAGTTATGGTTTAAATATTATTAAAGATATGGTAACCAAAGGCATATTACTTATCAGAAAATGATACTTGATATTATGGTACTATGATGTGATTTGTTTAATTCTTAAGTCAGAAAAGAAAGTAAATTTTGTCAAAAATCACCAAAAGCATCCTTCAGTTCTTCAGACATAGTAATTTCACTAGTAGGATAACCGTTTGTATTTCACTTGATCTACCGCGATTATTAGTCAAAGGAGTTCACTTACCTTGCATACAGTAAGTGTAATTAACAGAGTGATCTGAATATTTTTGCGAAGCTGCCAAGTTCACTTCCTTCCTTAGAATTCATTGCGAAATTTTTAGCTTTATTAGACTCGAGATACAACATGTGGTAAGTTATACCACTACTATCTTGAATTGATTAACTCGTCTATTAATTACGATGAATAAAATACAACAATACCAGAAATAATTGCTGCATGCTCTTTGTACACACAACACATTTACAAATGCCCTTTAAATCTCACACTATAGATTAGTTGTATTCAATGAAAATTATAAAAAAACTAACCACTTCATTTATTTTATATGCTGTTAAAAAACTGATTGAAAATTAAATCCATTGTTAAAATTCTACTTTTTTCCAATTAAAAAAAGGATACAATGATTTCACTAAACGACTACAATGTTTATAATTTTCAGTCAGCATACATAGTGCTAACAGAGAAACAGGATTATAACACCAAGCACGATACAGTTTTTCAAACAACTGACATTGGGCCTAAAATATGTACATACGATGGAGAGAATGTAGATATTTGTTTTGTAAAATAAAAAAGGAAAATAGACAAATGCTTTGAATATAAAGATATATTGTGAAAAAAAAAATGTAAGAATTGAAATCAGTCCTGTGGCATACTTAAAGTACTGTCCGTATCATTAGGCATAATTGTTTGGATGAGCTAAAGTGATGTCAATACACGAACGTATCTCACAAATAATATTGTTGTTTAGCATATATTTTTATGTTACTTAACTACATAAAGTGAGGACTATGTTATATATAGAAGAATTTGTGACTATTTAGCAAACCACTCATAATCCAATTTTATTGTTTGACAAGGAGACATTCAGTGGGTTAGGATTATTCCTCAACACCAAGTATTGTTGTTGCTCATTAAAGTATATCCTATTGAATGATCGATAAGCGTAGTAACTAGAATCAATTTTTTAATCAGGTGATCTACTACTACAAACTAATAGTTGAGATATGAAGGTCAAAGGCGTAAAATTTTATCATCACGAACTAATCAATATTCGAGTCAGATAGACTTCAGCAAACAATCACTGAGAACAATTGACTTATACTGGCACTAGCTCTTTTTGGATAAGTAAAGAGCTTATAAAGTAGACACATAGTAATCCTATGAGTTACATTAGATAAGCTCGAACGATTAATTATGTTCATTCTTATTTACAAATGAATAAGTCCGTCTGTTGTCTGTCTTTATCTATGTTCTAATTGGTTTTATCTTACATAAAAACTGAGTGATGTTTAACTCGACAATTTGGATCAGGCTGTAATCATTCGCTTGTATGGTTTTAGAAACATAATAGGCTTAAAACATTTAGTATTCAACTTTTGATATCCCATTACTTAATTTAATCTAGTTTTAAAACAATGTTGGTCGAATGAGATTTATGAAATCGATTCGGGGTATATATCGAGGATCAATGAAACTTTTGGCAACCCAGAATAAATGGCTAATAGTTGAAAAACTTCTCCGAAGCTAGAAGACCGACCTTTTCCCTGAAACATATACTGTTTAAAAACGAGTTTATTTTAACAATTAAGTATTATTAGATAAAATTTACTAGTACAGCGAAAAAATAAACAAATAAAACCTCTAAACAATCAACTGAGGGAAAGCATCGAATAGTACTAAGAGATGTTAGCAGAATCAAATATTAACATATTTTGTGATTATCTCTTGGTGAAAATATACCAATATTTATAAATGAACACTACCTATTCCACCTTACCTTCGTATTAATACAACGTAATTGTTTACGGAAATTATGTAACACTGGTTGAGTTAAAAGAATCCGATTCAACGCTTGTACCAGTACAAATGCTGATTCCAATGGTTTAATATAAGAAATAATTGTTGAAACGGTGCAGTAAACCGTATCAGCACCAAGAACTTGGCAGAGATCGCTAACAAAACAGTAAAAACAAAATAAATAAAGGATTTAATAAACTTGCTGATTATGAACAACTTACTTGACAAGTCTGGTAGTGTAATGAACGAGAACACAAGTGGGAACAATCGGATGTATTTGAACACAAAATTGCAGAATCTCTTGGTAAAATTTGAGAACCATACAATAATTCATTTGCAAAATGTTGATTAATCGTCTCAGACCTCAATGTTCTTTCGTTTCAACACCAATAATTCTGTTATCGTTCTCTTTCCTTCGATCTTCTTAACCTTCTGCTTTCATGCATTTCACTTTCAACTAATGATACATACTACTTATATCTGTCGATATAAGTAGAACACATCACAATAGGATCAGGTGGGAATATTGAGGGTTTATATTCAGTAGCATTCTAATGTCATAAAAGACGACGATTAATGCCTACGACCTGTTAGGGCAGTGACATCTCTGGGAGCCGAAACACAAATTCAACAGTCGGCAACTTTAGATAATTCAGTGAATAAAACAGGATGTATTACAAAAAAGAGCACCTCAGACCAAATACTAAAGATTACATCTCCCTGTAAGGACCTTAAAATAAAATGGGCTAAATCTAAGTCTAATAGGTTAGAGAAACTGAACCGCAGCTTCCATTATATGTAGTCTCAAAATTTGAAAAATACAAACTGTCGAATTTCAACTTCGTGCTTTACGCAAAACATGAAGACCCTCTATTTGATCCAATATGGGGTCGATAAAACATGTTACATTGAAGTTCAATATTACAACCAAACATTCGTACGATTTACGACCACTCATTCATCAGTTATTCTATTCCTTAACTGATTCCAGGTTTTCTAAGACGGAGAGAATAAATGAAAGTGTGAAACTTTGATATCTATTCTTTAGGGAGGCTTTTTATAAATATATTTTAATATTACACGATTGGCTTATGGTATTTTTTAATTGACTTAATTGTGCGCTTTTATTTGGCTCATTAACCGTCGTTATATATTTTACCATCCATAAAATTAATCAGAAGCCTGCTACTCAGTTGTGTCCTTGTTATTCACATACTGAGTTTGTCATTTATGGCGTACCATGGTTTTGTACTTTGTAAATAGAATGACATCAGATTTGAATCACACAGAATATTAGGGGCCTTATGCAGTTTTGACTGGTAGATTGAGAATGGGTGAGAATATCGCACAGCAATCGATCGTTTAACGCAAAAAGCAAATACGTTAGCGAATTCATAATGGGCAGAAGTAAAAGAACATAATAAAAGGGTTGTGATGAAAGTCATTTACAAATTAAGGAATCAAAACAAATACTGAATACCTACGCAGGTTAACTGAAATTTTGACTAATAATCATTACTTTTTAAGGGGATATGGTAAACATAATCAACATTCCAGTTGAAAATATTAAAAGATCATGTGTTCCACAAGATTTAGTAAATACTCTACGGCAGAAAAAACATCGACCTATCAAAGAGAAACCAAGCACGCATGATCCGTCTACTTAAGTAAATAAAACATTCCTTAATATTGAAGTCTTAAAAAATGGGTCAAACAAATATACGCTCCATTATTTCAACAAAAGTCAGTACTAAGCACTTGACATCAATCCTGATGAAAAATAGAAACGGAAAATGATCGTTATTTCTTAGTTAAAATCAAATTCGTTGGTTGTACTGATATCAGATCATGAAGTAGGACCAACCATTCAGGTAAAGCATACACAGATCCAATGAATTTAAAACAAATAGTTCATACTGCTACACAGAAACTACGCTTATTCATGGTTTTGATAACTGGACATATCTTAGTAAGCATTTCATGTGACTGACACTGAAAGGAAAAATTGTTCAATAGACTATTCTTATTTGGTTGATAAATTGTTTTTATTATTATCGAGAGTATCGACATTTGCGAAGCCTTCAAGCAAGCGTATGTTGTCTGGTAATAACGAGTTTCTAATGAGGATTGTTACTGAAGAAAAGATCTTGTTTAGAAACACTTTTCCCATCAAATTAAGTAATTCAAACCAACACTGGTTGTGAAAAATTGATAAAATTTTCATGACACAATAGTTTGTTTCGTCTTGAAATATAAAATAAAATCAACCCATGAAGCTAATTACGTAATAATCATATCTCCACGTTTCCGTAATAATTCTGAATCTTTGTTAAACAATTCGACTAAGTCCAGAAGAAATCGTAAACAAAATGTATTTGGAGCAGAAGATGATGACGGTAATGATTCTTGAGATGAAGTCTCCATTGAACAATCAGAAATCTGACTATTATTTTGTCCATTCACTATAACCGGATCATGAAGCAACTTAACTAGTTCTTGAGGTAAAATAACAGATTCTTTGTTGTGATAATCATTACCAACAACAGTAGTATGATGACTGAGTTTTCCAATCAATGAAATAGTAGAATGCACCATCTATAAAAATAAATTTTAAAAAGTCATGCATGAAATGAAGACAAAATTGCTGATATCATTTCTAGACAAAATTTCATTGATTCCCACTGTATAACTTACTTCATCAGCAGGATCAGAAACTAGTTTGAGCATTTCTGGTAAAAGACGATCAACATGAGAAAAAACATCAGATGAACAAACTTCTGCAAGTACAGTAATCCAGCGTAGTGCTGCCAAGCGAGTAAATAAACTTGAATTATTAAGAAGTTGAAAAGTAGCTTCTAAGATTGCATCTGTGCACAAAATTTGTGAATTGTTTTGTCCACCGGATAGTGTATCAGTTGTGGTGTTGAGAGATGAGTCTGTAAACTGTTTAGTTGAATTTTCAGCCTGTGAACTATAAGAAGTATAGGCAAAATATTTTGGTAATGTCGTCAAGGATGTTTGGTTTCATAAAGAAGATTTATACAAACATCCCATATTGCTATCATTTTTAAAGACAAACAAAACTATCACGGAAACCTGTTATAAAGAAGCATCAGGAAACGCGTCGCTGAAATCACAATTTTATAGAAAAGGAAAATAACCAAATGAAAAACTATTGCAGAACAATTGGAAGCGTGGTTTCTCTATAAACTAGAGTTTTTATTTATGTGACAGATTCCTAAACACAATTGACAATATCTTACGTCACTGAAGTGGATGATTCATAAAAATTTATAGAATGATTTTTAGTATACTGACTGATGCCAACTCAATGTATATATGACACATTGCGCGGTACAGTAAAATTATAAACTGATTACTCGTTTAACTTCGCCCATGTTCTAGTGTGACGGACGGTACTCACAAGATTGCTAGTAAGTAGTATGTAGCGAAACGTGGTGTCGAAGCTGCCACAGTCGTCAGTCAGGGAGAAGAGCTTCAGTACATGAAAAACACGGGGTAGGAAAAACACTTGGAGACCAGACGAAGGCTATGTATATGTATTATATAATTATTTTGTAATTTTTCAAAACAAATATTCCTTCTGGTCATTGCCTTGTTTTACGCCAGTACCAGGAAAGTGTTCAGTGAATAAGCCTCAGAGAAGCCATTCGTAGGATGATGTGAAAGAATCTTTATTACATCATGGTAAAAAATAAAGTGCAGTAAGTTCAGTCCGGTAACACGAACCTGAATTTGATGGTTGTGTAGGTTTTTTAAAATTAAACAAAAACAGCCTGTCAATGATATCCTTGACTAACAGGAAATTGAAGATCATAGTTATGTTTAGCAATCTGACATTAATCCTTATATCAAGACATGCAACCCTTGCATTCAATCACAACCATACAATATAGATTATTCTGGCGGAACTTGGTACACTAGCTGAATTTCTGTTCATGATATCTTACAATGTGTTACAAGTGGCTTTTTAATTTTAAAAAAACGGGTATTTATTACAGTATGTTTCCCAACGTGTATTTTACTGTTGATAATAAATTTAAACCTCATTTCAAAATATCTACCAAGTCAAAATATTCTTAAGTGTTAAAAACAATATTCAGCAAACCATGGTAAATAATGTACGTTCAAAGCATAAATCAAACTAACACTTCATCTTCTTCCAGAAAACGAAAAATCACTGACAAATTATAAAACTAGAATATAAATTAAGTTCAATCAAGTGCTAAAATATTATGGAATTGTCAGATGTCAGATTACAACAGATTATTGTAATCATAGACAAATGCTTTATATGGTGATAAGATTCAAGGGAAAGTAAACGTCATAGTTACTGCTGAAATTTCCATCTCAAAATGTAATTTTGTGAACACAAAGCTCTTGATCACTCAATAATTAACTTTCCATATTATTGGAATTAAATCCTATGCTGTGACCCATATCATATTTAGATAATAAGGACGTTAAGAAGTGGTGTATGATAAGTAAATGTTTAAACCACTTATCACATGCACTATCCGAAAACTTGCATGCCTACCAAGGTATAAATAATTTTCTGGATGCACTGGCGATTGTGCTTCCGTAAGTCAATACCTGCTGTTAGAAAAACATATCTAGCAGTATTGGGGAGATCTAAATTATTCCTCGAAAAAAATTTTAGAAGGGCCCTAAAAACGCTGGAAAGCACTTCATCTAATTAGTATTGAATAGAAATTTTTCAGAAATATCTAGAAAGTCAGGAATCATGTGTCACATTTCTGATTGGATGGTTCCAGAACCTTCCAGAAGCCCAAGATCATCTGAAATACTATAAATACCCTCGATTTTCTGTACATAAACTAACCTTGGAGTAAAGCATTCTTTTCATAATTCATGCCTTTACTCTCGTGTAGATTTACCCTGGGGTCATTAGAACAGCATAGGAAACTGATACTAGCGTTCAGTTGGAAGATTTATCAAATAGTTAGTCATTTTACCAACCAAACATCATAAACAAATTTTAGAAAAATATTTAAGTCTTATTAGAATGTGTTATGAATTTATCTTAACACATAAATATGCAGAACATCAAAACTTACAACTTGACTAACGATTCACTTTGGTTTCCTGAATTCAGTGAGACTCGGTGAGAATCCATTGCACTGTGAGCTATTGATTCGCATGAATCCAAGTTATTCATAGTACATGAATTGAATAATCTAACAGCCTTCAAAAGCGTTTCGTTTATGCACACAGCTGTCTCGAGAGCAACTTTCGTATGAATAATAATTAGAATAATTAAAACAAGAAAGATAAAATTCAGCTTATCCAGTGTATATATTTTAAAAAATGACTAGATACACACCTAGCTTTTTATACACGACGACCACAAAATGAAAACCATATAATCTGCAAAATATATTTATGATTTACTGTATTACAATCGAGAACAGTCTGTCACATTAAGAGGATAACTGGCAACTTATAAAACACATGCAGTTGATGGATGATGAGATAGAAGAATCAGTAAAATCACGCGGTCAAATACCTATGATAAGTGGTTTGGAAGAATTGTTATGATGCTTGACAGTAATGAAAAAATGAAGTCATTTGAAACCATAACAAATAAACCCGTATCCTACTGTTCACCATGGAAGTGTGTTTATTCGTTTGACTTGATAAGAACCCAACTAACACCTAGTTATGTTACAAACAAAAACTAATTTATAAATATAAAACTTACATAACTAACTTGTTACGGCTTTGGAAAGACAGTACTTTTCTTCAATTAAAAAAACGTTCAGTACACATTTCACTACTTTATGGACCATGGGGTAAGCAAAACTCAAAGGAATAAGCTTTCAGAAAATCTAGAATAGAACCACGGCCCATCTGAACAGGCACATGCAGCACTCAAAATAAAAATCGATAATTTTGAAGGATAACGCCAGTTAATAACATTCAACAAAATTAAAAATGCTAAATCGTGACGTATTAAGACAGTTAATAGACAAGATAAACTGATCATATGACAGATTATGTCGACAAGTTCTAAACGAAAGCATATATTTAAAACGCACATTGTGTTAGTCACAAAATTACAGGACCTATGAAAACGCTTCTATAACAATTAGAATAAAGCATGCAAAAACAGGACAACTCGAACAACAAAGCACACCAAGAAGTCAAGATGACAAATGCTGATTCCTACACTGTTTATGACTGACACACACTGAAAGTTAGAATCATTGAGTCAATAATCATACAACCAACTTACTTCAACCTATTATCTTTAGAAATACTACAGAGTACATAGTTACTAAGTTTGAGTGAGACAAACAATTCCATACAGTAATACAGATAGACTACAAGATTTTTAATATCCCAAGCATATTCTAAATGATACAAAATTGAATAATTGACGGACAGAAATGTGATATTGAATAAACCTATATAAAATAGAAAGTTAAAAACAAACCTTTCCTTTCTTGTAAAGCATCAGATGGTCCACAGAGCATAAAGCAGGGAAGAACAGCACCAATAATTCCTGAAGCATATGGAAGCATATGATGCGGATCTATTTCAACAAATGTTTTTATCCACTTTAGTGCCGCTCGTTGTTTTAATTGTTCTGGTGCGTTACATATATTTCCGCTTTTTAAGGACCACGAATCAGAAGCGTTTTGAGCAGTTTGTGTGAGACTAATACTTTGAGCTGACGTATCAACAACGATCGATGAATTGAGGAGATTAGAAAACTGAGAGTTACGTGGAGATGATGGCTTCAAAGCAATATCGGCCAAAGCACAAGCTAGTGAAAGTAACACGAAAAAATCCATGGTACTGTATATATAAGAAAAACAATACACAGAATATGAGGAGTACAGAAATACAATAATCAATATAGGCATAAATATACCGCAATGTTTCGTACTTAATGACAACTAAAAAATCTATGCCATGACAAAATTCGTACTACGGTTTATTTATTTATTACAACATATAAACATCAGCTCAATGGGGCATTAAAAGATATATGCGCCACACAATAAAAACAAGGATGTGAAAAGATAGAGAAAGGAAGATATAATGAAAAAGAACAAAGACGAATGGGAATTAGTGTATGAGAGTGAAGTAATAATAACGGGAGAGGCAGTTCAGTTAACAAAAGTACAACCAGAAAGAATTCTTTCAGTTAAAGAAATTACTCTCACTTATAGGAAGAAAGAAAAAGAAAGTTACAGAAAGATCGTCACTGGCTTCTATTCTGAGCCATGTCTCAAGCCACTGTAGTGAAAGACCAACAGAACCCAGTCCTGCACAGCTCTTTTTCACATCACGACACCATGTCATACACTGACCACCTCTCCGCTTTTTCCAACCAGTCCGTGTCAGAAAATGATATACGATGTGGAATTCGCTGGGATAACATTTGTCGGACATGTTCAAGCCACCGAAGTCGATATTTCAAGATACTGATACCAATTAAATTATCATCACTGCGCCCGAACACACGATGCCGAATTTCCGCAATACTAAAATAGTGTTGCCACTGGAAGTCAGCAATTCTTCAGAGACAACGGTGATTAAACACATAGTCGCCTGACATCATAAACTCGGAGAGGTCAGGTTTCACAAACATGGAGCGAATCTGGTCCCACGGACGCAATGTAGATGCAGCCTTTTACAGCCAAACTAACATCACGAAGGCGCCGAAGATGGGCCAGATTAACATAAGCCACTCTGACTTTCACTATACGTGAATTGATCTCACCATTCATGCCACCACCAGCACTTACATAGCTACCCAGATGCACGATCCCCTCAACTACTAACTGCTCACTACCTATGTGGTGTATTCCATGTAAACCCTAATTAATGCAATCTTTTCTTATTGCCTGTAATACTGATGATGGATGATGACTGGTGCCTGAAAGTTTTTCACACTGTTGTGGTGTATGCTACTTATGTCGACATAAGTAGTATGTAAAGCAATCAGAAGTGGAATGCCTGAGCAGCAGAAGGTAGATAAGATCGAATCGAAAAGAACAGGAACAGAGAATAATTTTAATAACAGTGAAGGAATGAAGAAGATTGAGACAATTGATAGGGAATTTGCAAATTAAGTATTGAACGTATGATTTTCACATTTTATCCAAGAACTCTGTAATTATGTATAAATGAAATGGTTATCCCCAGCTGTGTTCGCGATCAATACACCCAGAGTGAGTGTAGGTTCAGGGTCCTCCCAGTCTTGTTAAAGTACTTTGCACTTAGAAGGTGCAAAGCACATACCATACCTACGGACACTGATTGCCAACTGACTAAGGGCGGATTGGACGAGTCGGGTATAGTCGCACAGTAAGACAATATCATCCGCATATTCACGGGCGAGAAGTCGTTTTCCAGGCAACAGATCCACACCACCATTACTTACATTCATCAGAGCTGTTTCCAGAATGTCATCGATGGCAAAGTTGAAGAGGAATGCTGAGATTGGGCAACCCTGTGTAACCCCACTGCTCGAATGGAACAATGGAGAGAGGTGGTTGTATGCCCTCACTCTGCCTGAGGTGTTTTTATATAGGGCTTTTAGGATGTTAATAAACTTCTCAGACACACCCTTCTTCAATAGACAATCCCACCATAGAAGAGCTGCTGTAGAAGTTGAAGAATAAAGGAATATACTAAATAAGAATAAAGGAATAGGCAAGTGACCTAATATATGATAAAAACAAATATTAATAAATAGTTTCAAGTATGATTCACGAAAATGGGAATTAAGGAGTGATTAACCTTTCTAGTTGCAGTCATCATTTAGTTTTTGTGCGCTGGGATGAACTCCGGGTGTTCACACCGAAGAAGGTGGTTTTCTCAGGCGACCACTTCCCGAGCCTTTGATCTAAAAGTCTAGTTCACAAGGTAGTGAAGCAACGTTAGTAGATGCAATCACATGGTAGCCGGCGACCAACGACAGGTTTATACGTCATTTGCTCCCCCAGGATCCAGGAGTTTATGTTCACCACTAGTTTGGAGTCAGGGTTTTCTTGTTCTCCTAGGTGCAACCTCCGCGTACCAATCAACCCGGTTAGGAAAGAACATTCGTTTTTCGCAATCTCAATTTCGTAAACAACAAACCCGCCGCAAGAAGGTAGTGATTAGGACTTCTTTGGCAATCGCCTACCGTAGCTGTTATCTTGACGTAGTGACCGGGTCGGCCTATTGTGATGACTCAACTGAGCTATATTGGCTAGGACACACGTTCTTTTAGGTTCTACCATGCCAGGCGGATCGGTCGAAGAACGGTAAGACTAAAAGCAGTAACTTGAGGCCCGAGGGCGACGAGGGTGTGACAGCAGTAAGGTGCTTCCCTTGAGCAACCAGCACTGCAACGATGCTGTCTTCTCACAACGGAAGAAAGGTGTCAGGAATACTCTCACACGGCCACGCGTATACAGCCTCTGCCAGGGAAGTCCTACTCATTGCCTTCTCGTGGCGGGGGTGTTGTTTACGAAAATGAGAGGACGAAAAGCGAATGTCCGGCTCTTTAACCGGATTCCAAATCAATGGTGCACATGGGCTCCAGTATCCTGCGGGAACGAATGGCGTATGAACCAATCGTTGGTCACCGGCTACCATGGGACTGCATCTCCTTACGATGCTCCACTGCCTTGTGGGTTAGACCTTTAGGTCAAAGGCTCGGGGGGTGGCCCCCTAAGAAAACCACCTGCTTCGGTTTGGGCACCCGGGCAGTATCACAGCCCACACACAAACGATGAACTCTATGTCTTTGGCAACTACTTTCATCGCTCCGAAAAACAAAAACAATCAATCAATTCAAATAATTATCATTACTATTATTGTCATTATTGATACTATTATTATTACTATTATTGTCGTTATTATTATTATTATTATCATTATTATTATTATTTCCCACATTATTCACCCTCTTTCATACTTATACAGCGGCTCGGCTTTGGTGGAAATTCGACTGTATCTAAACGTTCTCGAGTCACTGTCCGGTTGAAAGTTGTATGTTACCATCGAATATGAGTACTGAAGCAGTTTTTCTGAAACCACGTGCGCCATTCAAACTGGCTGCCTTCAACGTTCGCACACTTATGCAGGTTGGTCAACAGATAGGGCTGGCTATGTCTTTGGAAAGTCTTAATATTGATGTTTGTTGTCTATCCGAGACCCGTATTCAAGACTCTAGCGAAGTACTACAAATTTGCTCTACATCTGTCACTTCAAAAAGCTTGTTTTACGTGCGCTTATCCGGGGACCCTGTGGCATCTTCGTCTGGTCTTGCTGGCGTTGGTGTCGCACTAAGCGCTAGAGCTAAGGCAGCACTAATCGATTGGATCCCCATTAACAGTCGGTTATGTGCTGTTAGATTAGAAAGTTCCATCAAAGTGAGAAGAAATCGGCGTGAGAAACGATGTCTTTTCGTCATCTCCGCCTATGCCCCGACAGATTGCAGCCCGGATGCAATCAAGGATGAGTTTTACCACCAGTTATCAGTTCTTCTCCAGAAAGTGCGTTCGACAGATATTGTAGTACTAGCCGGAGACTTGAATGCTCAGGTCGGGCGTCTAGGCACAGAAGAGAGTCGTTTAGGTGGCCGATGGGGACTCGTTGGTCGCAGGTCAGACAACGGGGACCGTCTACTGCAACTGTGCACAGACCACAACCTGTTTCTGGCTAGCACTAACTTTCGGCACAGTCATCGCCGATGTGCCACCTGGCGTCCTCCCTCTGCATCTCAAGCCTGGACTCAGATTGATCACATCGCGATCAGCTACCGCTGGCGTGGTTGTGTACAAGACTGCCGCTCCTTTTGGAGTACCTATCTGGACTCTGACCATGCCTTGGTCTGCGCCAATCTTGCCTTACTTTTCAGTGGACAACGAAGTGAACGCCATCAACGGATTGATGTTAGCAAGCTGGTTGCAACTTCTGTTGCAAGTAAGTATCGAACCGAGCTAGCCTCTAGGCTAGCTACCACTCCACCGAAAAGTATAGATGAGCATTGGTTGCAATTGCATGACGCCATGAAAATGGCGGGAACAGTCAGTTGTGGGTTTGCGAAACGTCCCGCTTTTAAGCACTGGGTTTCTTCTGGTTCCTTACAACTCATTGAAGCCCGTCGGTCTACTCCGGGTAACCGTGAGTTTGACCATAAACGAAGGATTTTACGTAAGGAAATCGGGCAAAGCTTGCGTAAGGACCGAGAAGCCTGGTGGTCGATGCGTGCTAATGAGCTGGAAGCAGCAGCTGCATCTGGTAACTACCGGAAGCTCTTCCAAGTCATCCGAGCCACTGGCAGCAAGAAGTCTGGTGTGAGTGAAACAATCTGCGAGGATGATGGGATGCCAATCACTAACATCCATCGACGTCTTGGACGATGGGCAGAATTTTTCGAAGGGCAGTTCAACTGCCCTGCTGCTCCGGCAACATCGGTCAGACTGTCCTGCCCTCCATGGCCGGTGACGACTGATCCACCAAATGAGGAGGAAGTCCGCAAGGAACTCCAACTCTTGAAGCGTTACAAATCACCTGGCCCAGATGACTTACCTCCGGCTCTTTTTAAAGATGGTGGTGACTTTTTGACTAAGGAATTGACGACGTTGTTCACAAAGGTTTGGGAACTAGAGAGTGTGCCAACGTCATGGAATGAGTCGATAGTTGTCCCTATCTTTAAAAAGGGTTCACGTCGTTCCTGTAACAACTACCGGGGGATAAGTTTACTTCCGATTGCGTCCAAGCTATTGGCTTCCGTCATACTTCGTAGGTTGTTCAAAACCC